CCTCAGGAGAGAGACAAGGTGGCTTGGGATGCCCATCCCACTAAGAACTTGCCACAATTTATTATGATCTGAGAATATGTGGTAACAATTTATTATGATCTGAGAATATGTGGTAACATTTCTCCTCTTGCATAACAATATGTAGCTGTTTGGACTGATTGAAGTCAAAGATAAGGCTTTTTTAACGTCAAAGGTATACCTACTGCATTCCCCTTGGCAATGTAAGTAAAAGGTACAATCTGAGACAAATATTCTGTAAAAAGTCTATGAGACTGAGCAAGAGTCCGCTCAAGACCTGAAGGCAGCCTGGGGTGCATTTTTCCAGCAGAATTAGATGAAAAACCTGTTCTGACTCTTGCTTTATTGGCAAAGATGGATCGAGTACCTGCTTCTAATGCTGTCTTTTGCTTTTTCTACTGCCTTGAACCTTGCCAAACTGTCAGGATCCTAGGCTTAAATCCTGACACACTTCTTTTGGATATCTTATGACTATATTATATGCACATTAATACTGTATTGTATCTGTGCATGTATTCATTTGTCGCATTCAATACTATGTAAATGTATACTGTAAGTGAGTGTTGCTATGTTTTAATCATGCTGAAATCAGTTGCCGAAGTGAAGCATTGTATGAAGAGCTATCATTAGTTAGGAATGTTTACCTTTGTTTTGGCAGATTCATGGGACTGTTTTCTTGAAAGGTGTGTTGTTTATAAATGTATGGTGTGTGTAATACTCATCACCCCTGCTATAGATCACTTTTAGTGGTATTTTAATTATAGTTTTACTATGTCAAGTGAACTTATTTTCTGAACGAAGCAAGCACCTCATCACATTGAGATCCAAATGGTGGTTGATAGTGGGGAGATTTGTCAAGCAGCATGGTGAACCCAGCACGCAGCGTGGGGAACCCATTGCCTTGCACCATGCATCGCCCCCTTACCCATCCTATGTGGGGAAGCATCGCCGCCCAGCTTCCCCCCACACTCACCCCATTCCTCTCAGTGAAACCACAGGCAAACTCCCATGTTCTTTTTCCAGCATCCTAGGATGCTTGCAGGATACTGGAAGAATGGAGCCCTATATCATCTGATGTGATTCCCCAATGAGTACTTAGACTAAGAAAGCAGGATTAGAATGAGAGATTTTTAAATTGTATTTTTGGCACTGCAGAGGGATTGGTTGATGCCTGCTGTTAGAGCACTTTGGTTTTCTCAGTGTTCAGTGCCAAACTTTTCATATGATTTTTAAGAAGGAGGTCCAAAGATAATTGTGATTCACTGTGTCGAATGCCTTTGCAAGATCGATGAATGCTATGTAAAGAGGTTGATTTTGTTCTCTGCATTTTTCTTGGAGCTGTCGTACAGTGAAGATCATATCCACTATTCCTCTGGAGGGTTGGAAGCTGTTCTGGGATTCTAGGAGGATGTCTTCCAAAATAGGTAGAAGGTAGTTTGCAAGGATTTTGTGAGGATTTTTCCGACAGAGTTTAGAAGGAAGATACCGCAATAGTTTCCACAGTCTGATCTTTCCTACTTTTTGAAGAGGGTGATGATGGTAGCATCCTTGAAGTCTGCTGGGATTTTCTGTTACCCACAATTTTCCAATGAGCTAGTGAACTTGTTCTATCTGTTCAGTTCCACCCTCTTTAAATATTTCAGCAGGGATCCCATCAGGTCCACTGGCTTTGTTATTTTTTAGCTGGCTGATAGTTTTGTTGAATTCCTCCAAAATATGCTTTGATGTAAGTTCATCCCTGGTTTGTTGTTGCAGGATTTGTGAGAGAACCTCTTTGGCCATGTTGAAGATGTGGTTAAGGAAGTTCTAGTGTGCTCTTTCCAATGTAGTGCACTTGATTTTTTATCCTTCAGAAGTTTGATTCCATCTGATGAACTTAGATGGTGTATGCCATAATTTGTTAGGCAATAGATAAGCTTCGTGGCTTTAAAGTATCCCCTGCAAAGTGTTGGATTTCTTGAGCCTTTTTTGTTGATAAGATTTTCTTGAGTTCTCTGGTCATTTTTTAGACCTCAGCTTTTACACCAGTGTAGGTCTTAGCAGCACAAGTATGCCCATGCAGTATGGAAAAAGTAGAAACTGCCAGGCATGTCCTTTTACATGGTGACTTTTATACTGATATTCAAGCTGTTTTTATGACTCCCATTGTACAAAAGATACCTGGTAGAAATAACTATTATAATCTAAAACATCTCATAGATGATAGGGAACCATCAATCATTCTAAAGGTGGCTAAGTTTTGTGCTGCTGCTAGAAAAATAAGGAGACAGATTTTGGATGATAGTGGGTGATTTTAAAGGATAATGTTTTAACCTACCCATTTTAGCATCTACACCCACAGATTTTATAAAAGCTGATCCCTATTTCCGCATCACACATTGGTGATTTTCTGCTTTTAATGTGTAGAATCATTCATCTTAATGCTAATTTATATATTTAAAAAAACTCTGATTTGAATGTTTTAATGCTTTGTACTTGTCTGTGACCATTACAATAAAATTCATTCAGCAGAACAGCTGGTATCTCTTTGACATAATTGGAAGGCTTTCCTTTTCTTATCAATCAACTATTGGATCTCATTATCATTTTCATCAAACCATTTTTGATGTTTCGTTATTTAGTATCCAATGGTTTCTTCACAGGCTGTGACATTAGAGGTCTTCAGTTTATTCCAATGTTCCTCAACAGCTTCAGGGTGTTCTATGGGTAGATGATTCTTGAGTGTTGTTTGGAGAAGGGCTCATTTGGAGGGCTCTTGAAGGGCTTGGGTGTTCATTTTACACCTTATCTTTCTTCCTTGGAGTCTGCATTTGGGGGCGATCTTGATGGCAATAGTGGATTGAATTAAGCTGTGGCCTGACCAGCAATCATCAGCGCCAATTATAGCTCTTGAGAGAGCTTCATCCTCACAAACATGTAAGAATTCCTTTCAAACCAGGGTTCTGTTCCTGAAATAGTCCTTTCATGGTATTCTTCACACTTCAGAAGACCAGTTAAGCAATAAAAACAGAATGTCCCAGAAGTCTATACGAATAGGTTGGCTTTTCCCCTGCAGGCATGAAAAAAATTTCCATTTGCAGAAACGTCTCTATAAATCTGTACTGTCAAGCCAAAAGGTCAGGATCCAGAGGTATGCAGAGTTGAACAGGTGCCGCTGTCAGCCCTGTCCTAGCTGGAGAGGTAGTTTGGCAGATTCCAACTACACCTGGGGGAAGAGGAGTGACACCACTCTTTCAAATCTCCAATATCTCACTGAGGATCTGGAACAATGACTAATTCTTCCCCCCCCCCCCCCCCCCCCCCCCCCCGGGCAGCAGGATTGCAGCTGGAACAAATGCTGCCTTGTTGCCTCCCTTTTCCTCCTAAATATTCATGATAATGCCCTTATTATTGAGTGAAGAATTAGTACCGTAAGTATCTCCTTGGATGAAAAGTATATATAGTTGCCACAGGAAGTCATTGTTGGACTATGACTCAAACCCCTCCTCAGATATGAAAATCCGCTGAGCTTTAGGAAATTCTTTCTGTCTTAGTATCATCAGAAACAACTTTAAGGCACACATTGACAAAAAGTCATAGAACAGTAATAATCAGAGAACTGTACATACATGGTTTTTACATACAGCGAAGATTTTGGAGAAATAGGGAAAGGAATTGGTTAAATTTATATGGAATGGAAAAAAGGTTAGAACTGAATATAGAAATGTATTGTCGAAGGCTTTCATGGCCGGAATCACTGGGTTGTTGTAGGTTTTTTTGGGCTATATGACCATGTTCTAGAGGCATTCTCTCCTGACATTTTGCCTGCATCTATGGCAAGCATCCTCAGAGGTAGTGGGGTTTATTGGAACTAGGAAAGTGGGTTTATATATATGTGGAATGACCAGGGTGGTACAAAGAACTCTTGTCTGTTGGAGCTAGGTGTGAATGTTTCAGTTGACCACCTTGATTAGCATTTGATGGCCTGGCAGTGCTTGGGACAATCTTTTATTGAGAGGTGTTTAGAGTGCCTGATTGTTTCCCCTCTGTTGTTTTGCTGTTGTAATTTTAGAGTTTTTTAATACTGGTAGCCAGATTTTGTTCATTTTCATGGTTTCCTCCTTTCTGTTGAAATTGTCCACGTGCTTGTGTATTTCAGTGGCTTCTCTGTGTAGCCTGACATGGTGGTTGTGAGAGTGGTCCAGCATTTCTGTGTTCTCAAATAATATGCTGTGTCCAGGCTGGTTCATCAGGTGCTCTGCTATGGCTGACTTCTCTGGTTGAAGTAGTCTGCAGTGCCTTTCATGTTCCTTGATTTGTGTTTGGGCGCTGTGTTTGGCGGTCGCTATGTAGACTTGTCCACAGCTGCATGTTGTACGGTAGACTCCTGTAGAAGTGAGAGGATCCCTCATACCCAGCGCATGATTATTTTGCATGATTATTTACACTGGTTCTTTCATCCAAGCATATGGAGTAAAAGGCTGCCATTTGTAATTCAGCGGTGAACTGCTGACTAACATCACTTGCTACGTGCTGGGCTTGATCTTTAATAGTATTTCTGTTAAGAAGCATCTAAGACAGGGGTCCTCAAACTTTTTAAACAGAAGGCCAGATCACAGTCCCTCAAACTGTTGGAGGGCCGGATTATAATTTGAAAAAAACATGAATAAATTCCTATGCACACTGCATATATCTTATTTGTAATGCAAAAACCCCTTAAAAACAATACAATAATTAAAATGAAGAACAATTTTAACAACTATAAACTTAATAGTATTTCAATGGGAAGTGTGGGCCTGCTTTTGGCTGATGAGATAGGATTGTTGTTGTTGTTGTGTACTTTCAAGTCATTACAGACTTAGGTTGACCCTGAGCGAGGGCCGGGTAAATGACCTTGGAGGGCCGCATCCGGCCCCTGGGCCTTAGTTTGAGGACCCCTGATCTAAGAGATGCATTGTACAATTTATCCTTGTTTGGGAAATCATGGCTATTTTAATAATATCCCCGTCAGAGAGGGGATTTTGCTGTGTGTTGTTGAAAGTTGTACTGGGCACCTGATCTACCAAGGCCTTCAGAAGATGATATCTCGGTCTTCATCTGGCTAGAGGGACATCACCAGACAACCACTTACTATAATGCAGTCTGAACTCTGCCACATGCACAATGGAGGACCTTTTTACAGCGGCACCAGAGGCACTCCAAGTGGCAAGCTTCTAGTCAAAAGAAATTTAGCATAATGCCAAGTTGTTAACTTTGTTTGTTACATTATAATTGTATTCTCAATTTGCTTCTGACGTGATAAATAAAAACCCAGATAATCCTCTAGCCTCTAGCCATTCCCTTCTAGCCACTGAATGACTACAGGGAATTGTGCAGTGGCCAAATAATGAATATATGGAATACTGAAAAAGACTACATTGCATTGTTCCACCTGTTTAGTATTTATACTATACTCTGCTATCTGTCTCAGGCACCCTAGTTGTGTTGGACACCTGATATGTAGTGGTGCCATGAGGGGTGTATGAATAGTGTGCACTACATATTAAGACGACACCCTCAGAAAGGGTGACATCAACCATAGGGCAAGGCAGGAGAGAAAGCAGCCAATTAATGCTGAATGGTCATCTTGCTCCCTAAGACCCGTCGCAAACTCTGTTCCTGCGGGAGCAAACCTTGCTAGCATGTCCCTGACGTCATGAGACTCCGCCTCTCGCCCCGCCCCTTTCTCCGCCTCTTTCTCCTTGCGAGAGTGGTTTTTCCTTTGCTAGGGCAGCATTGCCAGCATACTCTCTCAGTTGGCAGAATTCAACTGAGAGAAAATGCGGGCAATGCTGCCCTAGCAAAGGAAAAACCACGCTGGCAAAGAGAAAGGGGCAGAGAAAGGGGCGGGGCTAGAGGCGCAGGCTCATGACGTCAGGGACGTGCTAGCAAGGTTTGCTCCCGCAGGAACAGAGCTTGCGACGGCTC